TTTTTTTTTTTTTTGAAAAAGAAATAAGAAAACATTCGTTCACTTTTCCAAGCCTTCATCTTATTATCATTTAATAATAATAAAAATAATAATAAAACCATTATGCCGTTCACGATAACAAAATTTTCCTCCCCAAAAGAAATATCCCTCAGAGAAACAACCTACGTGTAAACACGAAATAACACGCAGCAAAATCGAAAGTTACACGCGTAACTTGAGAGAGAGCGTTTGCTTCGAAAATTCGAAAAGCTAATTCCAACCCCCATCCTCGAAGAAGAAGGAGAAGAGAAGGTGGTAAAGGCAGGTGTACCACCACACACCATCGAAACAGAATGCGGCGTAATATGGTTTCTCGGGCTCTTTATCTATCTATCTATCTCTATCTATCTCTGTCTCTATCTCTTTCTGTCCTCCACTCGTCCTCTGTCCTCTGTTCTCGGTGAGTATCGGGGCTCTGGAAGTATTCTTCTGTTGTAGGGATTACTGCTGCCGCTACGCTCAGGCAAGTTCAGAAGCACACCTCTGCTAAAGTAGTAAAGCGCTTGTGTCGCAAGATTAAAGTAGCCGCACCTTAGAGTAACGTATGAACACTGTCACTTTTGTCGACGCTGACGTGAGTATTGACGCGAGAATCCGCGGGTCCATCCCAATAAAAACAGAGAGATTGCAGAAAATATTTAACTCTTACAATGTATAATTGGCTTTTGCCCACTTTGGTTAAAATGATCCGAAATGGTTTTAATTGATCATTGATCATTCTTTTGGAGATGTTTTTTAACGAGGGCCTCTAGGGTTTTTTATTTTTTATTTTTTTAATTTTGAAGAATTTTAAGAATTTTAACCCAGGAGGGCGGAATATATCTTTTCGTTTTATTTTTATTTTTTTTTTATTTTTTTGTTTTTGATCGATTGATTGATTAATTGATATTCGACGAGAATATGGTGGACCCGTTCATTCCCGAAATTTGTGAATCACGTGAATCTTCGCTTTCTCGATACTGTGAATTGCATATTAATCGATGTATAATACGTATTCTTGTGACGTTCTTATCGACAGAGCTGGGGAAAATATTGGAGAAAGTGTATATTTTTCGTATAACAAATGTATATTTCATAACGTCATATGTTATTTAAAATTAAGAATTTCTTATTCGAAGTCGTCTTTGAAAGAAATTTATTGTATTTCGATTAAGACTGGAAACCGAATCGAAAAGGAACGATGATTTCGAACAAAAACGCGTAAAATATTTTTAAAAAATATATTATTTTTGGAAAAATAATATATCGTAAATAATAATATTGTACATACGAATTTACGTATCATAAATTAATTTCCCCAGCTCTGTTAATCGCTCTCTGTAAAACACGTATAGAAAAGATGTGACTATTTGCATTATCGCGTGGATTTTTATCATTTATTATTTGTTTTTTTTTTTTTTATATATATATATACATCATTTAACGATGTCGTGTGTTGTCGTCATTTAACTGTTGCGCTTTTAACAAATACTTCGACACGATTAAAAAAGAAAAAAAAGAATCACACTTTGTGTAACGATTTATATTACGCGTGGTATTCTCACGTTGCGATACTCTCGAAGCCTTGACGCAACGCGTGTTTCGAAAAAAAGGGCGAAAGAGAAAAGAAAAGAGGAAAAAAAAAAAAAAAAATAAAAAAGAAAAAACGCGATAATTCCTCGCGTTTGTTTCCTAAAAAAAAAAAAAAAAAACGATTTGCTCCTCGATTCGAGAACGGGAACGATCAATCGAAGTGGCAGTAGTACCTGAAAACACTCCTTGCACCGTAGAAACGTATGTGACTTTAACCCTTCCATAGCCGGCGGTGTGTGAACGTTTCCTATTGTATAACAGCCTCGCGATTTTATCTCGCACGATTTACACGTTTATGCTCTTTGCCGATCGCGTAACACGATGTTGACGTCGGGGAGAGTCATGGAGAGAGGAGAAAAAAAAAAAAAAAAAAGAATTCGAGCTGTTATACACACACACGCATACACATATACACGTATCGCCGGCTAATAATGATGAGTCGATGTTTTTTTTTTTTCTTCAGTTTTTGTCACTTTCAGTTGCGCGTTTGTAACATAATAAAAAGCATGCGAGTCGAAAAGCATGACAAGTTCGACCGATTTTCCCCTAGACTCCCCACGTTCTCCACATGTTTCCACGCGTTGCACCTAGAATTCACTAGATCGACGAGCCAATTTCAGAATTAACAGTTATAATATTCGCTTTAATTACACACGTCACGAGTTGTTCGCTTCTCTTCGATCTTGAGGGTTCTGAATTCGTTTGAGGGTAAAGCTGTCTAGAGAATTATGGCTGGTGGACACTGGTGTTCAAAGTGACGAGATAATTAAGAAAATTAAATTAACTTAAACGATAAACGTAGCAATGTAGCGTTTTTTCTAGTAAACTTCAACATCTGGTGTCCCCTAGCGGATCGCAATCTAGTGTTCCCTAGCGAAATGTACCGTCGAAGGTTATTTTCGAAAGTTTTACCCTTTCAAATCGATTCAAACTCTCAGATCCGATGGAATCTGACACCTTCGATCTCGCGGATAATGATGCAAAAACGATAACACGAATTTTCAATCGGATTAAAATCTCTCCGTTCAATTTTTAATCGTCTTTAATGAACGCTCGATTACTCGTTTACCGCGGAAAGAGTTCGTATTCGGATCGGTGCTTGATAATTTTACATCGATTTCTCTCAACTTTCGATGAGAAAATAATTTTTAATCGAGACAATTTATTCGATTGACGCAACTCAAAAAACGTGAATTATTTAAAAATTTTCGCAAAACTTGTCGCATCTGTTTGTTATTTCCAAAGGATCGAGTATTTTGAATTTATTGGATCGTTCAATCATTATTATTGAGCACTGATAATTATTACAGCTCTTCTATATCGTAATTAACCAATAACGATAATTTTCAAATACAAGCACAAGCTGTCGTTCTAACATATTCTAACCACGATGACTAATTCTGTCTATATAGTATCCGTGTCTAATAATCCTTGCTCTTCCTCGAATTCCAACCCTATCTCCACAAAAACAGTCTCAAATGATTTTCTATTTTATTTCAGAAATAAAAGCAAGGAAAAAGCATGCAGGTAAGAAATAATCCGCATGGAATCCGATTTTTACTAATTTAATCGGTAGTTAGTTAGTGCATGCATCGACCAGCTCTGTGAAGTAGTGTATACACGTCGATGTTTAGTAGTAGAATGGTTTTAGTAGTAGAATTTTCTTTAAACCTTATTTTATTTTATTTTATTTTTTTCTATCCACAGTATTATCTCTTTAGAACGAAAATGGGAATTTATAAAAAGAATTAGAATATTGGTAACGTAGCACTTTTATTTAGAAATTATTTTCGATATAGGATGATCTTTTTGATTGGAAGGGAGAATTGGAAGATTCAAAAATTCAAAAGAAAAACTTGTAAAAATGCTTCTACCAATCTTCTACCAATTTTCTCCATGTTCACAATCATCCCTTACAAACTTATGCATCTGTCTCCTATACAGGTCTATATCTTACAAATACATCTACACCATTTTTCTTTTAGCTACTTGAAAAATCTCTCTCTTTCTCTCTCTAATTAACAAAAATTTTGTCTTATTTTTTAAAAATTTTCCTATGTAAATATCAAAAAAAAAAAAAAATCTCCAAATGAAAACGATATATATAAGCAAGAGAGACTCATAGTATTCCCTATTATCTAGTTATCCCTAGACTCAATCCTAAATATCTTCACGGTAGATGCATGCAACATGAAAAATCCCGAAAAAATGCAAAAAGGCAATTTAAAAAAAAAAAAAGAGGAAGGTAAACTTGTCGAATAATTTGAAAACGAGATTACACAAGAAAAAGTAGAAAATATTAACATTAACTCGATCGATTTATATTATTTATAAACTGGATAATTAAATTTTCCCAAATCCTTGTCTTTTGAACTACTACTTAAAATGTATAAATACTTCTTTCTACTAATATATTTAATAACTTTTATTAATATTTCGACTTCAATTATCTCTTTGTAACGTGTCCACACGTTATAAATTGAAACAAACAAAATATTTCAAATTTGAAAACATTTGAAAAAAAAAAAAAAGAAAAAAAGAAAAAGTATCCTTTCGACAAGTTCACCAAAAAAGAAAAAAAAAAAGAAAAGAAAAGAGAAAAGTTCGAAGGGAGTGCGCGCGAGAGGATGATTGCAAAGCGGTAACACGATGATTGGTTGAACACGCAGAGAAAGATCTTGGTTTCCTGCGTATTGGCTCGCTGAACGTACGCGTGAAACGTACGACGGAAGCGTTCAGCCAGTTCCTGGGTGTGGCAACTAGCAGCGCCAGCAGCAACCACGAGAAGATACACAAGAGTTGGGGATCGGCGGATAATGTGCAGGTAGAGGAGAAAGGAAGAGCGATCTCGAAAATTGCTCGATACCCACACACACATACACACACACACACCTCCTCCTTCACTGGTTAACCCTCTATAATTATTCAACCCTTGGACGAAGCACTAATACCACCACATCCATCCATTCATCCCTCCTCTCTTCGACGCATGAATATTATGCGACGAATCTCGTTTAATATTAACGCAGGTAGAGAGAAATTATTTTAAGAAAGATAATATTTCGTTTTTAATCCGTCGTCTCTATACGGATATTTTTCTAATATTTAATTTCAAAATGATCGCAGTATACGTGATACGAATGATTGCAAACGATAGCGGTATATTTAAAATCTGTTTAAAAAAATAATAATAATTATTGCTCTCAAAACCTCGTCCAAGGGTTATAAAAAAAAAAAATAAAATACTACGAAAATTAAAAAAAATTCTTTCAAATTTTCTGTTAGTTGGATCAAAAAATGATGCCGCCACCAAAGTACGCGCCTATCAAGAAAAGAAGAAGTCGCCGTGCTCAGGATTTCAGTTCGTTGCGGGAGCACCAAGCTGCCAGTCAACCGACCACTCCACTTCTTCAAGGAAAAGTTCGATCGAGTCAACAGATGCATCGTCGACCAACCTCCACGACAGCCGTCAGTTCTGCAGTTTCCAAAACGCAGCAGAACAACGACTCGGATTCGGATACCGCGTGCGGATTCGATTCCGCGTGGAGAGGATCTGCGCAATTGTAGACACAACTCCGACGCGACATCTATCGCGAAAACTTGAGGCTCAAATTCAGCGTTTCTCGATCTTTTCGCCACTCTTTTTAATCATTCGTATGTTAATATAAAATTTTTAAAAATCTAATAATAACTGGAATGATTGAATTATGTAGATAAAATTACGTATATATTTGATCACTTTACAATTAAAAAAAAATTATAATACGAGGCGATTTATAGATTGAGAAACACTGCTCTAGTGAATCATCGTGTACCTTTGTCTTCTGATCTCTTTAGATAATGATTTTGAAATGATTTTCTAACAGATCGGTAAAAAGTTGGTGTAGTATATTGAAAAAGACTGAAATTATGATTTAGCGATAATATTTTTGAATATTATTATGAGTTTATAGCAATAGCCAGATAATATGGCCAGATATATTCGGAACATTTTTCTTTACCGGTGATAAGCTTTCTATATCGATCGACTGATTAAAATAATAAGAGTTTTATAAAGGAATTTATTCTTGATGAAGACTTGCACGCAATGATTTGATTATCGATATTTTCTTACGTTGCAGAGATGCATGATGCACATTCTTTGCTCTAATTATTATTATTATCATGGTTTTTATAAGTGCCTTAATTTAACACTTGAAAGCAATATTTTAGATTTATCGATGCATCTGCACCAAGGCCAAATACATAACATACATAATCCGTCGTAAGCGTGGAAATTACAATTTCTATACAGGGTGTACTACGCACAATTTTATTGTAAAATATTATATCACTTAAGGAATGTGAATACAATCATTGTACCTAAGTAGTAAAAAATAGAAATTGCAATATTATGCGTGTTGTTATACTACCGACGAATATATATATTAATTATTCAATTGTAGATTTTTAAATAAATTGTATAAATGTTTAAGATTAAAAATAAATGACGAATTGATTATCTATATTAGATATTTAATTCTCCATTAAATATCTTATAAACGCGCCTATGAAAAATCATACACGAGCGCTATCTAGTCAATATCTCTGGAAACCAGTTATCCTTGCAACTTTTTAAAATTTTCACTAGATGTCGCTANNNTACATTTCTGGAATTACTTATCCTCTAAGTAAAGACAAAGAACAGACTAGATGCGACATATTTATAATCTTATCGACGTATGTTCTGAAATACCGATTTTCAAAAAATGTTTCTTATTCCCTTTAATACGATTTCTACGTTCTATTAATAATAAAATAAAGATTTTAAAAAAATAATTAAAATTTAGAAAAATTACTAAAAAAACATAATCGCGATTGCAGCCAAATAGCTAATATTATTTTT